GAGGAGCCACCCCCATTCCAACCCCCAACCTGGAGGACCAGGAGGCTGAGTTTGTCTGGCCTCTAACCATTGACCAATCTGGTATGAGTGGCTCTGAAGGTGCAAAAATGCACCACCCAGCATAGCTCAATGGATCTCTGAGGCACGCAAACCATCGCACCACGGTAAGGTCCAGCCTCATTGCGAGATAATAAATTAAAACACATGTTATATGTCATCATAGTTGAAGCTGCCTAAATTCGCGGTTCATATTTGTTAGCCCGTCCACAGTAAAAAGGATATATTCATGTATTTACTTCTACAATCAAAATGGCTTCTAAATGATTCGCTGTAATCGATGAACAGTAATTCTTTCATTTTTTCGACAACCCAATCGTCTCCTATACGCAACAACGACAGTGAACCCCAGGGTGATGGGACGGTTGGAACTATGGATAACTAAAATCATTCAAACCAGAATGATGCACTGTTTGGAGATCAGCTGACTTTTGTTATTTGACACTGTGGGTCGGAGTTAGAAGTGAAACACCCACAATATCCACCCAAATGGCCCATCTAGTAAGTGCGGCGAACCATCGCCACCGCCTTTCCGATTCTAAAAAACCAACGGCTTTGTGCATTAATCTTGTCTTAATACAATTGCGTAGCATTACTCGAGGGCATCGTGTTCGTTAGATAGTTAAATGGGACAAAATAGGAATAAACACCTCTTTGTCTCCCTTCGCGGTTTGGAAGCAAATGAAGAGACGTGCGAACATGCACAACCCCTTACCCCGAAGTAGCTTGGTAACACAACTGCACAAAAAACCTCCGCGCTCTTATGATAAGAAGCTGGTTGGTCCTTGAGAGAGTTCATTGCAACTAAGTAAACTACAAAACTTTTGCTTGAGGAGAAGGGATAGCATAAGTACTAAATAATCAGCCATTTTATTTTGAAGTCACAGTTTCATGCAGTTACTTACTTGGTTTATGTAATCCGTCACGACCAGATTGGACCTTAACGTGATGCGATGGTTTGTGGGCCTTAACGATCCACTGAGCTGTACTTGGTGGCGCTTTGTGCACTTTAAGAGCTTCTCATACGAGATTGGTCAACGGTTAAAGGTCTGATAAACTCAGTCTCCTGGCCCTCCATATTGGTGGCTCTGTGTAGCCCGGTGCCTAAACTCCATGACATTGCGATCCAAGTATCTACACTAAAAGCTATGTTTGCGAACCCTAGGCCTAGGCAACCTGATAGTATCCTGCCCGCACTACAATGTTTTGTTGTTCTGGCCGTCGGACAGGATAATCGACGACGCTCTATCTGTTGCGTCGAGCAGGGTTGATAGAAGTAAAGATGCCACTGGTCAGACATTCCCGTCGTCTTATCTCCCCATTTGCGCATTGTTAGCCCTATCACCGTGTACCAACCTCACTTTTATCCCCCTGTTTTCAACATACTAAATCTTCGCCCTCCGTCATCTTATTTCAATAGGCGTTTGTCTTCTAGTTTCAACTCGCACGCCATAGAAGCACGCCGCTTTGAACCAGTCGACAAGACATGTTCAACCAAGCAGACGTCAGTTCATCGGTTACTTTTTGAAGTCCTCGATCCTCACTAAGACTTGTATGTCTCAAGGTGCGAAGTTTGTTACTGCTTGGCCCAAAGACGATAATTGCCCGAACAGTAGAGACCCTACCGAGCAACATCTGCTGTTTACCTGAAACCCACATGCAAGTTTCGTGGGTCTGTGCTCAACTTGAAACCCCCCCCATGTGATACCGGAGGCACTTTCTCACTGCGTCTGTTCACAGATGAGGCAGCTTCAAATTCCGGTTAAGCCGGTGTGGGCATGGCTCTGAACCCCCGGGCAGAAGCTGCCCTGATCGACTGGATTCCAGTCAACAGCCAATTCCGAGTGCGTGACGACAAACGGTGTCTGTTTTTCATTGCTGCATACGAACCCACAAGCTGTAACACTGACTCAATGAAAGATAATCTATATCATCAGCTAAACGAGCTCAGTCGTTACAGGAAAAGTACGCATATTGTGGTTCTTGCTGGTGATCTGAACGCCAAAGTTGGAAAATTTCCACTGGTGAGATTCATCTGGGGAGCTAACACGGTGTAGACTCCCGCAATAATAACGGTGAGTGGTTGCTACGACTGTATGAAGATGCGCGTCTGTTACTTGCGAGCACTAACTCCCGAGACAATAGCCGCAGAAGGGTGACTTGGCGCCCACCAGCTTCGAGCAACCCGTGGACGCCAATCGATCGAAGGTACAGCTGGAGAGGCTGCGTCCAAAACCTTTGCTCGATTTGGAGCACGAGCGTGGACTCCAATTGTGTATATGTGCCCATCCGCAAGTGCGTTTCGGCGGCCCCCCGCCACTGCGCTGTGAGTGCATATATACCTGCTAAGGGTCGAGGCCACATGTTCTAATCACGTATCAGGTACATCGGCATCCGAGCTCAGTAAGCGCTCACTGAACACAGCAGAAAATCTCTGGTCGCCCACCAACCACACTTTACTAGCAGCAGGCATATCTTCATGTAGCAAATTAAATTACCAACTTGGACATTGGGTGTCTATGAAGTCTATGTAACCTCTGAATGCTTGCCAATGCCATCCGATGGAAAGAGAACACAGTGAAACTCGCAAAGACCTCAGGGCGAAACTGCGTACGACTTTAAGGAGAGAGCGTCGGAAATGGAAATGATCTATACTGTTGGTAAGCACCGTTAGTTATCCTGTCTGATACGGGAAACGGGTAGGAAAGTAGGTGTTAGAGAAAGCATACGTCACGTAGGCAGACGGTCAATCCACAGTTTGTGAAAACGCTTGGAGAAACGAGCCAAATACTTTGAAAATCAGTTTACTCAGCCAGTTACAATCATCCCTATTGGCCATTGCTCAGCCTTCTCCGTGGGCCGTACCCTTGGAGCTGCCCTCACGCGCAGAGGTGGAACGTTAGAGCAGGCTGTTGGAAGTGAATAAGGCCACAGACTCAGAGAGATCTCCCTCTCGTGGATGATTTGTATAAATTACTAGTGGAGAAGTAGGAGCATGAGAGTGTCCAACAGAGTGGGGCCGTTCCGTCAAATTATCATTTTTCAAGTGAGGCTCATGTTTGAAATGCGGCAACCATAGAGGAATCAGTCTGCTCTGAAATTCCTCGATGTTGTTCGCCTCTATCTTTCTCCACAGACTAGTATACACCTGTAAAAGCCAGATTTTTGAGGAGGAAACCAAGTTTAGGGGAAATCCTGGTTGCCTTGACAACAGCATCCATCGTGATCGCGTTTCTCGACATCAAAAGTTCCTTCGATGCGGCGGATCGATGTGCTCTTTGTTACTGTCTGTTCCGAATAGGTGTGCCCGATAAATATGTAGATATCATCGAACTGCTTTATATCCATAGTCTGGACAGAGTGAGGGCTTACAACAAACTGCCTCCGCCGTTTAGAATCTCCGGCCGTCAACTTCCCTTTCTATCGACGCCATCGACGAAGTCAAGGGGCCCTGGACACGACCTGCAAGTTCTGGAGCTGCTTCCTAGTGAGCAACTGCTTGACATGGAACATGCCGACGACATTGCGGTTGTAAGTGACAGCGACAAAACATACCGAGCAGTACTGGGCACATTAGCAGTGGCTGTCGAAATGCAAAGTCCTTCTCCAAGCCTGGTAGGGACTGCTCCTGCGTTGAACTTTGGCGTTGATTTGCTGGAAGTTGTTCAGAAAATTAAGTGCTTAGTCAACTATAGTAGCGCTCATGAAAGATAAGATCACGAACAATATAGTAAGAGTTCGAGGCAATTTTGCCAACGTCCGCCGCCTGTGGCGCCGGCGGCTTGAAGGGCACAGTTTACAAAGCAACTGTTCGTTCAACCCTACTGTAAGATTGCCATAACTGGCCCATCAGGTCGACCAACATAAATACTTTAGTTACGTCCGATCATCGCTGTCTGCGCACTTAAGCTCACATCTGGTGAGAAGACCGCGTCAGCAATGAGCGTGTTTGGCGTCGTGTATCTGGTTCAGGAAGAGAAAGTGAACCACCCAGCACCGTTATATCACTCACTAGGCTCTGAAGATTGGGTCACATGTTACACACACCCGCAGACAAACTTCTGCGTCGTGCGTTGTTTGCGCTCCTGAAATCCGTAGGGAAAAGCAGGAGAGACCAAGCGAAGAGTTGATCAAGAATAATGAAAGCCCTCACTTCGGATTTGGTGTTGTTAGGTGTCTCTCGACTGCCTGCCTGGGGTCAAAGAGGTGAACACGTTTGGTTGGTTACACTAGTTGGCGTGGCGAAGATCCGACTTCACTGGCGGTTGTCTTGTGAATTTCTTTGCACCCCTTCCCGTTTACCTTTCCCCCCAACGACATTCTCGAACTCCGTGCATAATATGATAGTTGAATGTGAATACTGTACCATGGACGCAAGTAAAATTTAAATATGTACAATTTCATCGCAATATAATCAAAAAATATTATGGAAGGTATCTGCCACCCGTGATAATCTAATCGTTCTTTAAGATCTTACGCAGCATTTTAAAACGTTTGCTTAACAGTTTTACCGGGCTCACAAATGTAGGATTACAATGCTGGTGTGCAATCGTTGTCTGAATCGTATGATGGTGAAATGTAAATCCAACAACTGCACAGCTTTGACATTCACGATTTGGGCTGGCAGACTGTTCCAAACATTTACCACTCTCCGTTCGAAGCAAAGGGGGAGGGGTAATCACTTTTTATCCGGCACTACAAGCTTATACGAGTGTCCCCGTGTGTTGCGTGAGGTTCACAGTTAAAGCATCATATTGTACGAGTTTTTCGATGTATTCTGTAATTTTAATGTCTTGTATTGTGGCATAATTGCTAAGGTGTATTTCGCACCTTCATCTGACGTATATTGATGACGATGATGTAATATATGCATTTATACAATGCTTAAAAAAGTTCTTTCCAAAGATTTATATTGGGGAATAAGCAGTGAACGGTTGACTTACTCACAGTACAGTTGCTTACACATTCCGGCCATCTCCAACACTCACATCCTCTCAATATATTCTCGGTCAGAGGATAACTAGTCTGGAGATCCTCGTTTGCATCCGTGTCTGAAGAAGAGGCCTCCTCCGGTTGAAGGACAACTTCACCAAGTTGGCAGAATGTGAGTGTCACTACGATTAGGGAAGCTAAGGGGGTGAAACGCAGCGCCGCCGCTGACCTCATTCGTGCGGCTGAAAGAAGGAGTAAACATACGACATTTACAATCATGTACTGGTTGGTGCTGCATCAACTTGTCACTTGTGTATGTCTTGTTATCAAGAACTTACTAAGACACCCCTTGCGTACGTAAGGTTACTTTACAAATGACTACAAAAGCTCAAACGGTATAGTGTAACAAGATGAATGTGGTACTAACTATATATACATAAAATTTAGGTGCTAGGAAGCCATACCGTAGCTTGCCATTTTCATTTGTATCTAAGAGTCATAATATCTTCAACTTCATGTTTAGTCTGAAACAGGACCAATAGGTAGCAAGTGGAAATTCTGTCTCTCTTTCGTCGAAGGCTCCTGAGCATCCATCAACAAAGTTGGCTTACAGGCAGTAATGAGGGTCGACGTTACTTTCGAAAACCCCATAAACGGTGGGTCACACCCAGGTGGTAGTGTTTTTCGTTTTAATACATTGATGCTATATTCGCGTGTCACCTACCGTCGTACCTCACCGTACACCCCCCAGTGATTACGGTGTTCAAGTGTTAGTTTGGAATCAGGTGTTTCATATGCTTAAACACAAACAAAATAGTCTCATCTGGTCTCACTCGTTTCCGTGCAAGTTCTAACTATTTGTGAAACTCTAGATCGTTCTTCGAAGCATTCGATCTCATATTCAGCAAAATCCCAAGATTTAATCAATACGCCAGACTCGAAACCTAACTGCAGACCGGTGCGAACAGAGATTCGCCAGTTGATTACTCGGCATTAAATGATTAGCGTCAAACTACACAGTGTAAAAGCTTAGACACCATGATGCAAGCTTGTTTCCGTGCGTACACACCAGAGGTCAGTCAAATAGGTGATGGCACAAACATGTGTGCCAAGCGGCACCTTGAAAGGTATGACGGGCGCATAAAAGGGTCACAAGGAAGAATGTATAGAACTGTGCTGCAATGCATAGGAGCAAGCCATATTTTAAACAAGCACCACGCAAAGATTCGAGCACTGTGATGTGCGCAGTTGACTGATATCGTAGGATTGGCTCTAATGTCCTATACACAAGGTATAGCACAGTATACAAAAGTTCAATAATGTATGGTAGGCCAAAGCAGTAGCTTTAAAACACTCACCGGATGGCAAATATAAATCCGAGTGTTCCGGCATGGAACATGTACTATCAGTGGTTTAGACGTTATACTTCATCATAATGTTGTGCAGCATTTATCACGTAGTTACGAATCTACTACTCTTTTGAATGTCGCTATGTTTGGTGCTTGCATCACATGTGTTGGGAGTGCAGGTTAGGGAGAACAGATTCTAAGAGAGTAAAGATAGTCTTTGCGATCCAAACGGTAGTGCTTCTTTATTAGTTTTAGGTGGTGACCTCGGCATTGCTTGTAAGGGGCTACGCTCAGCAGTGAATTTAATGGGTGACCACTCACAGTTGGTACCCTATATGTTAGAGAAGAGGTCCCCACGAAGCATTTAGTATTCTGAGGTGAACATAGCCAGTAAACGTAGGCTCATTGCGTAACTGAGAGCGTAAAGTCCATGTGTTGCCCTAGTGGCTCTTCTTTGGGTCTGCTCCGAGTGTTGCACGTCCCATTTTAACCATGAACGCTTATTCAAGGTGGGGACGAATACGCAAGTTAATCAGAAACGTTACTATCGGTCGCTCGAAGGTACTAAAAGTTCACCTTAACGGCCTCAAGTTCAAATGCGGCACATGGACTACTTTTGGATATTGAAATGGATTGTCAAGAATGGAGGGTTTCGGTGTGGCTCTCCCCCATCCCTGCCAAGAGCTTTTTGTACCTAGGTCTCTTTCACTGGTCATGTGCTGTAGCACGTGTTGGCTAAAAAGCTGTGTCAATGAAGCTGCCGCACACCGATGGCAAGGTTCAGTGGGAGCTGGTTCACTTCTGGTCATTCGCTAATGCGGTCTAGATCGTTCTGCAGATAAGTACGATCAGAGGTTAAGCGAATTACCCTCCATATCTTAGCATCCTCTGCAAATATTTCTACCGGGGATAGAATTTTTGCTGGGAGACCATTGATGTAGACTAAAACATTAACGGGCCAAGAGTGGATCCTTGCGGTAATCCAGTGAAGACACCCAGGGTTTCGGAGTGAGTGTCGACTAGTCTTACCTTGATCGTTTTGTCTTGCAGGTAAGCTTCCAACCAGGTGAAGAGGGAGCCGTTGGTACCCCAAGCATCAATCCTTCGGAGGAGAGCTAATTGATCGATTCTATCTAAAGCCGTAGAAGGGTTCTAGTTAACGAGATCTATCAGGACTCTTTCATCAGCCTCCCTAGTCCATGAGTCCCGTGTAAACAGCAAATTGGTGAGGCAAAATCGTCTGCGTCTTAAACCCCATTGGACATTTGAAATTGGTTGTACACTTTCAAAACAGCGCGTCAATTCATCTGCGATTATGGATAAAAAGCTAGTATCCCATTCACTTAGCCTGGTACCTAAGCACTTGTCTAGAGGATCGGACCAGTTGATTGGAGGTCCATCCTCCCTGAGGTACCGGTGTAGCAAGTATGCCACTTAACTTCTTTAACAGAATCAATGGAAAGCACATCTGGATAAATCAACCGAACACAGGTTCATCATAGCGGCTAGGCAGGTTAGAAGAAAAGTAAAATGCGTTATCATCGCACTTTGATCCAGGAAGCTAAAATTTAGATGGTCCTTCATAGAAACATCGACCCGTACCCATATTTGTCCAACAACTTCCCTATACACCAGTATCGGCACTTTTACGCAGCATTAAAGATATTACTTCGACTGGTGACAAAATGTCTCCTGCCGTAATACCCAGCTCGGTGAAAAATTAACGCATCTATGACCAACGCAAGTCGCCCGTAGTCCCAATTACTACAGGGTCCTTCCTTATGCGTGTGTTTGCCCAACGTAAATATAGCATTGTCAGGAATTCAGGAAGGTGCATGCTTACATGCGTAGACGTCAACCTATTGAGAGTTACTACGAGTCAATGGACATGTCAAGCATTTATGTTCTCCATATAACAACTGATATCGATAGCAGCGCATATGCCGGTGGCCGGTGGCCGAGTGGTCTGCGCGTTTGCTTTGCAACCATAAGGTCACCGGTTCGAATCCGCGTAGGGGTGGGCGTCCTCGCGGTATAAACAGCCCGCGCGCTACTGGTGGTGGTCGCGCGGCAGCGAAGCGCCGTTACGGCGTATAAGCTGACACCTTTCTTTCTTTCTATATGCTGAAATGAGTAGGCAGTTTGACCCACCAGTTGTCATCTTATCGTGAGTTCCTTACACATCACCATCTTTCGTAACTTAAAATAACACCTGGGAAAGAAAGGGATGATACCCGCAACCTTGGTGTATGAGCATGTGTAAATTGGATGGAGCAAGGGTGCTGATTGTCATCCGAATCAGTTTGCCTAAAAGAGTTCTGCTTTTGAACAAGGAAATCAAGAAACACCAAAAGAACATTAAAATATTCGCTTTAAATGTTCAAATGCTATTTCATAAATAGCTATTGTCTTGGAAGTCGTGTTTTTCGTGGTCAACCCTGTCGCCTGTAACGTTTGTAACTTGCGTGACGGTGGAGGATACAACACACTACGTGGCAGTTAGTTTGTAAAACATGACAGTCCGAAGCTGTCCCCCGCGGCCCAGTGGCATAAGCAGCTATCTGGTGGTACGAGCCCCCAGTGATTATGGGTTCGGAACCTGATGGGTGTGCATTATTGACGAGTCCCGGAAGGACGAACAGCCCTCTAGTTCCTATCCGGACAGGTAGAGGAATGTCTAGTTTTATAACACTCTTGGGGGGGGGGGGAGTGAACTCCCAATTAATTAATGTCGGCATTAGATTCTGCATACATACAACGGCAGATACAACTGATTTGCATCATTGTTTGCTTGCTTAACTTCATTCCTCACACCTTTAGCAAATCCGGCTACTAGATCCCAGCGGACCATGTGGACGGATTGCTGACATTCTTACTTGGAGATTGTGCAGCCATTTGTGCGTACTAGTTGGAAAACTACACTTATTGTGTGGCAAACCTTGAAAGACACTACGACCGAAAATAATACCCATTGACCTAAATCCTGTTGAAGATACGTCTGGAATGGATGAAGTGAAACAAGTGCTTTATGTGGTCCAATTAGTAATAGCAACTTTAGCATAATTCTTGTCATTAACGGCATTGTCAACATTCGTGTTATCCATCAATGAACAACAAAGCCAGTCAGACTTTCCAGCTGTAAATGGACATCCATTTTTACATCGAGTACGACAGCCCATTGTTCTTCAACAGCCATAACAACAGCTTTTTGCTAACTTGAGCGGTACCCTGCGTCCTTGGTATTACAAGCATCCGTCTTCTTTTCAGTTACAGATTGAGCTAATTGCTCCGGAATCAAAGCAAGTACCTTACAGTGGGCATCAGGGCTAACGTGGAGTTTTTGCTTACATTAACCGGCTTTCTTGTCCAATAAGGGCTCGTTTACACTTCTAGCAACTACGGTCATGCTTAGCGCCCAGTTTCAGTCACCAATAACCACCTGCTTTTTAGGTATGATTGGATTGATTTGCACCATACTATCCTTCACGAAGTCAGCAAACCGAAACTTGTCGATCCTAATTGAGAAGTGCTGCAGTTTTATGGCGCTGAACTGCATACCAGCTTGAAAATAAACACCATCTGGTTCAACTCAAAGGGAAAGATCAATTGCCGGATCGTATGGGGCTTAATTGCTATTTCGTTAAACAAAGGCACTCAAGATATAATCCAGCTTTCCCTGATGATTAATGGCCCTGCTATGTTCGCAGACAGGAAGACAGCTAGAACATCCGAACAATGCGGGCGTGTTATAACAAAATTTTAAGCATCCTTTTATCACTGTTTGTTTGGTTAAAAGCGGTCGAAGAGCAAGATGAAAACTGCACATGTCTTCCCTAAAAGTAGCTATAGCAGCAGCGTCGGTCAGTCAGTTTGCGCAGCCTATCTGCATAAGC